GTTAAAATAGATAAAATCAGATTCACTAGGCTAAAACAACATTTCAACGTTCTTTATTTTTCAATAATTGTCTATATACAGTCAACATGAAATACAAAATGCCAAGAGAATAATCGCCACAAAACTATATCAACTGTAATTCCTTACCATGTGCCAGTAATCAAACCAAGCTTGGATAAGATCCATGTATTATCGGTTACTCATGAAAGTTATTTGTTAATAATTGTCTTTAGAAAGATTACTTGAACAAAATGTATTTACAGCTGTACACCTTTTAAATAATTTTGATTTCAAGAGACAACTTTATTTGCTAGAAAAATATTATCGTATAGTATCACCTTGTATTATAGCCTACAGACTGACTATATTTTTCAAATGGGCAAACGACACTAGAAGCACTGAACGGTTGTTTCGTCCTATTGTGTGACTCCTCAGCAGTTCGCTTGCGGGATTCGAACCCATCTGCTCACTAGTGACTAGCTTCGTGACGGAATTCTCTGAGTTTTAAGTAAAAGCCGTGACCAGTGGAGCTAAAACGTGTCGGGTAGAAACAGGTATCTACCTGAATACAATGAAAGATGTTCACTCATTTTCGTTCATTAGTTGTAGTAAGACATTAACATTGTTGGATACTATCTCAGTAGTCTAGAGGCTAAGCATTCGCACGCAAGAACAAAGGCCTTGGATTCGAATCCCGCAAGCTGGATCATGGATGCACACTACTGAATAGTTCCACTATAGGATGAGATGACCGTTTAGTGATTCCAGGTTTTCAGTGGTGGTCTAACATCAATCGGCTTATGATCTCAATTAAAAACATAATAATCTCCACAACCTTATACTGAAAACGATACCAGCCTTGCATGTAACAAGTCTAGGTTAAGCTTCAAGCACTTCGATATAACTTTTAAGATATTTCAAAAATTTACTATTTCGACTAATATAATATAAATTAAAAATGAAATCTGAAAAAACAAAGACCATACCGAATAGTTTTAATAATGTGATAATTTACATGAATAATCTATAAGTAGCATTGATACTCAGAAATGGAATACAGGGTTTCATTGGTTAATTATTCATATTACAACGATATGTAACTGATGAATGTCATGCAATCTCTGACTGGCAAAATAACTAATTTATTTTGATTGAGATCATGAATCTAATGATGTTAGACCACCATTGAAAACCTGGAAGCACGGGACGGCCATTTCGTCCCATTGTAGGACTGCTCAACAGTGTTCATCCACGATCCCGCTTGCGCGATTCCAACCCAGGGCCTTCAGTCTCGCGCGCGAACGCTTAACCTACTGGGCCACTGAGCCGTCCGACATCCAATGGTGTTAATGTCTAACCTCCACCAATCCATGAGGTTGCGCGACCACCTTTCATTATACTGAGGTAGACACCTGTTTCTACCCGACACAGATTAGCTCTGCTGGTCACGGCTTCTCACCAGAACTCCGAGAATTTTCTCACGAAGCTAGTCACTAGTGAGCACATGGTAATTATCGGTTTACGGGTTGTGGAGTTTGTTAAGTTTATTCTACTACAAAATATAAGTAGTATCTTGAACTAAGTAAAAATTTCTAAACATTACGAATTTCACCTTTCCCTGACCATGTGTAATGATATAAAGGGAACAGTGTCCAAAACTTAAAATATTAGTTAAGTAAATATAGAAAATTGTATTCTTACAAATAGTTCATCTCTATGAAATAACGATACATACATCATTGTAAACTTGCACATACATTCAACTGCGAATTATGTCTGACCGATGAGCGATTAAAATAACTAAAACTGAGCCGAATTATATCGACTGATCATCATTGTTTTAAATGATTTCTGTTATATGGATTACGATCTTAATAAGTAATATATATTATTAATTTAAGTTCATCAAACGTAATATAAAGCCTTTTGAGCGATTGTAAAAAATACTCAAACTCTTTAGCAACTTGACAATTCTAGAAGATCTCCAACACTTTACTAATACCATCACAAAGACCTCACTCAAAATGTTTTACACCTATTTACACTACTAAAAACAGTTGGTTAAGCGCCTGGCGCGAGACTGATAGGTCCTGGGTTTGAACCTCGCCGGGGGTGAGATCGTGGATGCGCACCGTCACTGAGGAGTCCCACAATAGGGCGAAACGGCCGCCCAGAGCTTCCAGGTTTTCCATGGTGGTCTAGCTTCGATTGAGTCGTGATCTCAACTGTTGGAAAACAGAATAATTTAATTGTGATCATGAACCGCGTGATACTAGGCTACTATTACAAACCTGGAATCCCTTGACGGCCGTTTCCTTCTATTGTAAGTCTCCTTAGTAGTGTACATCCATGATCCTGCCTCACGAGATTCGAACCACAGGGTCTTCTATTTCATTTTAAATTTCAAGCTAGTTAGATACTTATTAAATACTATAAATAATCCGGTTAGTCAAAGTTATACAGCTTCATCGACTGCCTTACCTAAAATTTAATACTTCAATACATATTTAATCACTTTGTACATCCATAAGACGATGAAATAACGGAATGATTAATTGTTTATATTATCTCTATTATAGTTACTTACGGACTTTCATTGAAGAAATAAGATACACGGATTGATAGGAAGTTATATTTTTCTTGAAGAGACTTATTAAATCATAAGTATCATGAATAATTTTAATTCTTGTATAATCCCAGCTT